AATCTGCCATGATGGAGTGATCAATAGCTCATTAAAGATTATTTGTAAATTAAGCTCTTTTCCTCATTTCAGTGGACAGGGCGCTGCATGGCCATGTGTATGCACAGACTTCATTTTCCATGTCTTCAGGATTGTTGAAGAATTTCAGTTTTTAGCTTCCTGGTAACTGGAAGACAATCCAGGCTGGACCATTTGCACCAAAGCGAGGAGAGTGAAGGAATCACCAGAGACATTTGTTCTACCCATTCCGACATTTTGGCTCTTTTGCTTTGCAGGATGAATGCACACGGGGGTGCTTACGATGGAACTATATAGAAGATTTCTGTGCTCATAACTATGCTAGTCACCCACTGACTAATTTGAAAACCCAAACTCATTTTTAACAGTTAGATTTCCTAACTGATTTTCTGCTGAATAGGTCAAGTTCTATTTATACTCTAAGGAAAATCATTACTTTTCCATTGGACAACCTGAAAGATTAAAACAGACAGTAATAGTTCTCAAGACTGTGTGCACACAGCTACAACAGTGCATACTTCTAGCAACAATAAGGTGCAATGTCTTTCCTGTAAAAGTTCTCTCTATAAATTCATCAAAGCGTGGCATGTGAATGACTTCACTTGCTAGCACACAGCAGACACCCCTGGGGTGAGGTATAGCACCTATTTAACAGCACATGGCAACGCTGCACAGCAGTAGAGGGCCGGAGGTGAAAACCATGTCTGCAAGGGGAATCTGAGAAGCCATTTGAAATGTCTTTTATTTGTAAATGAATGCCTTCCCTCAAGCTTGGCTCTGATGCAGAGATTTTTTTTTCTAGGAGGTTTCTGCTATTTACCCAACTTTCCAGCTGGGCTTCACTGAGGCACAAAGAGGCAGGACTTGCCTGAGTTTGTACAGTGAGTCAACAGCTCAGCAGGGGATTAGAGCCCACAATCCTTTTGGCATTGCTGCCTTGGTTCTAACCACTGGACCATGCAGCCTCATTTTGTTCCTGGTACTCTCTGCTGGTATGTGGTTTATCAGGAAAAAGCCTCAATGTGGTTAATAAAGGAGGCATTTTATAAAGCAGTAAAATAAGCCTGCTTGGTTCCAGCGTGTCCTGGTGGCTATGGTAGAGGAGTCAGAATTTGAACACGTGGCTCTTCCTTACATTAGTTGAAACAGCAGATTTCCCGAAGGTTTGGTCGTGAAGAAGTGCTGTGGAATGGTGTCATAGCTCCCATCCATCCAAAGGCAGCATGCCATGTGCAGACCTCCAGATAACCTGCTGCTGCTGGCCAAGGGACCACTCCAGCACTCATGCTGTGACTCTGGGGTAAAGGCTGCTACGCCTTGCCTGGTGACAACCATGACAAGCTGTCGAGGCCTGACTTGCATAGAAATGGACAGCAAAGGCAGTCATGTCAGGCCTTCCCTGCTCCCCTCCTTGCTATGAAGGAGCCTAAGGCCTTTCCCCTCTGCTGTCCAGGCAGAGAAATGCTGTAGCAGGCCACCTTCCTCCTTGCCCAGATCGCCCACTGGCTATACGGGCTGTGCCCCACTCCAGCTGTTCTGGTGACTTGCCCTTCCAGGTGTCCCGAATAGACCTGCACTTTTTTAATTTTAACTTCAAAGGATCAATACAGTGACTAATGGCAGATACACTACTAGATAACAGAAGGCATATAACAAAATCCGTGAGCCTAACACACTCTGCCTGAAGCCCTATGTGATCCAGCTAGAACTGAGTGCAGCAAGTGTGCATCAGCCTTTGATAACAAATCAGGACCAGCCACAGGCTCTGGGAACAAGGAAACCGGATCCAGTGGTAACATGTGTGACACATCACTTCTATCCTTCTCTCCTTGGCATCTGTTTGGCAAATAGAGCTGAGTCTGCAGTGTGCTTTTAATGTTGTGCCTGTATTTTTCCTCCTGTTTGTGACTACCTCCCTGAGTTCCCCAAAGGGTTCACTGATGGCCTATAGCATGCTGCAGATGGAGACTGGTGTCATATGCATGCATGTGGCAGAGGCAACTGCCCCCTCCCCTTTTATCTGTATCATCTGGAGAGAGCTACCCATCCTGACACTCTCAAAATATAAAAGTCAAATCCCATGTACTGAGGTCACCTGGGACCTGGCTTACTGGTGCCCCTGTGGCAGGTGCTGTATAAACACTGCACCCAAGTCCCTGCAACACCTGGAAGACGTAGCACATGGATGGCCCACTCCAGCCAGGCAGGACCATGCAAGCTCTGGGAAGGGTCGTCCACATCACCTGGAAGTGACAAAACTTTTCCCAAAATCTCCTCCCCAAATGAAGCTAGTTCCTTCCTTGATGAAAGAAACCTCAGTCAGGGCCTGTAATTTGCTGTGGGGGACGTGGCAGGAATAATAGGGTGCTCCAGTAAGGCTCAGAAGGGACGAGGGGTCTGCGGAAGGCTGGGCCGGCTGCCCCGGGTCCGGGCGGGGCCAAGGGGAGCATGCAGCCCCCCCGGGGGACTCTGCTCGGGGGGGCACTCTAGATCTTCCGGAAAACCGCC